CTACGGGCGATCTTTTTCAATTAACTTCCCTTCACTAACCCACTAGGTGCACTGACCCGGACTGTCCAACCTTTAACTGACGGCGCATGTGGCATGCGCATTACGAGCACTACATGTTACTATGACACCTATAGACAGTTAACTTGTATAACCTTCACCTCTATCCGCAACGGTCACGCTTGTGTGTGGACAACCATATCTTTTCGCCTAAACAATGATTTATCTATTGTCATGCTCGGAAATAAATGTTCTTTGATTTAATAATACATCGTTTGATCACGACTGATTATATTGTATAGTTATCCACTAGATAGGCGTTCGAAGCAATGCGGTGAGATCAGCTGATCGTTCATTCCAGGTTGCTTTGTTAACGTTTTGTATTCGGTACTGAAAGTGTTGCCCTTGAAGTATGACTATCACACTTTTACAGATTAAGTAGATTTTGTATACGTTCCTATATCTATGTAGAAGTATTGCCGAGCAGGCTACATCATATGCATGCATTTCAGTTTGTACAGCGGTACGCGAAATGTGAAGGTCTTATGCAACGTAAAGTTGCCTGTAGCCTCAATGTTGTGAATATTGACAGCAACACATGTAAGTATTTGTCAAATATATATAACTGAGAGCAATGAGAAATGTTTTCAAGAAATTGTAAGAGAAACAGGCACTATAATTATGTCATCAAGTCAGTAACAAAATACAATGTTCAAAATAAAAGAAATGGAAATCACTGAATCTGTTTTGATATTTAAGGGTTAATTGATGCATGTTGTATAAAAGGATTTTAGGTATGAATGGTGGCTGTTTGTTGCCAAATACTACAATGATTATATTTCAATATGATCATGATGATCAATGAAAGATATATATTATTTTGGCCATTTTTAAATTTTAAAAAGTAGAAACAAAACAATTTTCAGACACAGAGGACCCTATATATTAGTTAAAATACATATTCAAGAGTATTTGTACCAACTACAATTTTTATAAAACAAAACTATATTCATACTAATTTTCAATCTCTATAATGTTGATTGTATTAACATTGCAGTGTCTACATCCAGTTTGCATTGACAATAATCATATGATTGTAACACAGATAAAGCTCATTCTTAACTTCATTAGGCCTTGCTTTTTATGTTTCCTTGTTCTAAACTGATGTTTCAAATTATTAATGTTATTCTTTTTTCTCTTCACACCAACAGATATCTGCATTGCACAATGACTCTTATTATTTTATTTAATATCTTGGCATACTTGTGAATGTGTACTAGTATTTGATTACACGTGCATGACTTTTTAGCAGTCATCTGTTTCTGAACTGAATATTATGCCAATATAGATAAGTAACAGAAAAAAAGGACTCTGGTATTCTTTCATGTTTGGAGAATCAATCAGTTTCATTGTGAAAACATTTTTAATTTCTTACATAAGTGACTTTGCTCTTCATAAGATCAAAATAGATCCAAATTATATTGAGGAGATTAAATTATGCAGTCTAACTCATTTCAGTCAGTCTGTCTAAAATCCAGTCCTATTTTTAAGGCAATAATAAATGAATGAAAATTTAAGAAAAAATATACCTTGCTTGAGTGAATCAGTCAATATACATACTGACTGAAATTTTCAGTCAATATACATATTGGGCATGATTTTAGACACTGACTAACATATGTAAGTATAATCTGTTATATGCAAAAACAAATAACATAAATAAATCCATTTATCTACATGGAATGATTGTGGGGTTCAATGTGCATTTATTTAACCATCAGAAGATTTGAGGATAAACTTTCTAAATTCATATTAGCTGTATGATAATAATATCTACAAAATATACTTTATACTACAGGTGTCTTGAAGTACTGTTGAATGAAAATCAGGGTACATAGCTACAGCAGGATAGTGTGTGGGTTTGTATGGGAAATAATTTGTCAACATTAAAATAAATATAATGTTATTAAAACAAGAAGATAAAACTATGATTTACATCTATTTATGTATCATACACATTTTGTAGGGTAGTCAGTATGAGTTGTTTGTATGGGCAAATCTCTGTAATTTACTACTATTTTAAGAGCATGAGTCTCAGAATTCTGTATGAAATGATTGATCAATGAATTAATTAACACCTATGGTGACTCAGAGCACTTAACGGTGGGACACATGTTATAAGGGGCACAATAATATGGGTAAATCTCTTATTTCAAATCATGGTGACTTATATGTATATTGCAACTGAGTAACTGAGCGCTTAATAGATGCATGGTGGATTTTCATTTGGCATATTTCTAAAAAGTAATACAAATTTAAATATTCAGATGCAACTTTAATTTTGATATAAAAAGTAACATTTAAAATCAGTTGTTTTATTATTTTGAACGTTATTTCTTCTTAAAATATTTTTAAAGGCACGGATGTATACTTACTTTATAGATCATTGGTAAAGGACTGGGCCTGTCAAAGATGTCGGTTTGCTGCAAATGAAGAATCTAGGCATATCACTAATTTTATTAAATTGAAGTCCATGGTGGTATTTATTGAAATTTGAATGCTTCAAATTGTGGTGGGAAATAACACAAAGGCTGATAAATAAAATGAGTCTGCATTATTTCATCTATGCAATATGTTTGCCCAGACTGACAGTAGAAAATACAGTGGCAACATACTGTTTTTCATGACGTTTTTCCCGCTATCTTCTAAAGTGACAATTCGTCTTGTAGATGAAGACTCAACAAATGCTGATATTATAAACTAATAATCACTACAAAATATCTGCTAGTTAAAAAAATTCAGTTGTAAACGACCGCTTTTGGACGAAGGTGCAACAGGGTAGCTCTTCAGCTTGGCTCCGTCTCTACATGTCACTAGTTGTCACAGTGCGCATTGATCCGGGAACCAGACTGGAAGCGACAAGTTGGACCGTCACTTATATCATTTCAAAAGGAGAGTTATTGCCCTTTGGAACAAAAAGATCGCCCATTAGGGTGGTGTTCATTTCCAGAGCGTAACTCAAAAACTGTTTCATACTTTCTTTCAAAACTTTGCATGTCTACCAGGCACTCAAAACTTATTTAATACTTTCTAACAAAGCTTTGCATGTTTACCAGACACATACTGAACTGGTGCCTTTTGCTATTTAGGAATTTTAGGAATTTTAGAAATTTTTATTTTTTACTTTTCCATCACAACAAGTTGGACTAAGGTTCTTTAAGGGTGGTGTTCGTTTCCGGAGCGTAACTCAAAAATCTTAAAATACTTTCTTACAAAACTTTGCATGTCTACCAGGCACATACTGAACTGGTGCCTTTTGATATTTAGTGCTTTTATAATTTTTTATTATTTATGTTTCCATGACAACAAGTTTGATTTAAGTTTTCATATAGGGTGGTTTCACTTATGGAGTATAACAAAAAAACTGTTAAATATTTCCTTGCCAAACATTACATATCTATATATAAAGCACATACTGAACTGGTGTCATTTGATATTAAGGATGTTTGTTTTAGAATTTCCATTGCAGCTATTTTGACATGGGCTAAGAGAAATGTTGGGTCAGTTACCTGGATTTGGACCATAACGTGTTAAAATGGGCGGGGGATAGAGATGACTTTGTTGACTATACATTTGTCCTTTTTGCATTGGCTCTTGTTTCCTGAAGGCAGGAATGGTCGTAGATGTTCCGATCGTCACTGGTATGTAGTGGGGATTCATCGGACCTTGACGAGGGTTTGTTATGGATTACATCTGAAGGTATGCCCACCGGCCATGCCATCTATGGCATCTAATAAAGATGTAATACGGATTAATGCAGGATAAGTTAAAAAATTTAGTAAAATCTAAATAGTTTTTACATTTGTATACTTATCCTGCATTACGAAGTCTAAGTCCCCTCCCTTCACTATGCTGCCTCCCCACGAAGTTTCAGATGTTATGTTTAAAGCAGCTATGTGTTTTGATGTGACGTCATGATTTCCTGGTCACATGCCGACTGTGCGAGAGGGTGCTGCCTCCTGGCGGTTGATACAACTTTCTTCAGCAGCTGGATCTCACACAGTTCGTCTCTCTGTCAAAAGACAGCAATAAATGAAATGCAGGATAAGTATACAAATGTAAAAAATATTTAGATTTTACTAATTTTGAAATTCATTTCTCTGAGTAAATATCTGAAACTTAGATCATACAAAATGCTGTAAATAATGTTGTGAATTGGGATTTAGTAATGTGTAAAAAATGGCAACATTTATGATGTACCTAAAATTCAGAGGTCATTTTCAGTAATTTTGTTTTGTCTAAAATGGTAGTGGATCATATCACAGAACATGGAATTTCCTACTGAATTCAAAACTGTAAAGTGTATATGTGTACATGATGTATGATGAATTCTATTCTACTTCAAAGTGAGGGTTGAAGAGGAGGGACATATATGTCACTCTGGTATCCAGGTGGTTAAGAAAAAGCCCAAAGATCTTTCGATTCGCAACAAGGGTGAAGGTTAGCATATGTTATGAGAAGGTCAAAGGTTTAGCTCATGGCTTAAGAAATGCCAATAAAACCTGTTTTGTTACATTTGTGAAAAGTATAATATATATCCATTGTTTAGTGGCAGGCCCTGCACCATCAGGACTTTTAGTCAGGATCAGTCTAACCATGCTGAAGTAACTGGTCAGGTTACTGTAGAACATGGTCAATCATTGTCAGGCACTGTTACCGCCACAGACAAGAAGCTTGATTTGTATCTTGCCACAAGTCCTACCTAGCTGTTACTGTTTTTGATCCTTAAGAAATGGTTGTCAATTAATCTATGCATTTTCAGTGAGTAAGGTGGTTTCTATGTATATACCTGTCTATGTGATTTCTGTATTGTCATACCAGTAGTAGATCACCGTATGAGTCACATGTCGAATCGTTCAATTCTGGGTACAGTCTTGTAGTTCACTTGTGTTGAAGGAAACCCTTAACCCCACAATAATGGTCATAACATTTTTGTTATGCAGGGATGTAACTGGGCATTTACAACTGCCAGTAAATTGAAGAGACACAAAGCCAAGCATACTGGAGTAAGGAAATGGGTGTGCAGTGTGTGTAACAAGGGCTTTATGCGAGCTGAACATCTGAAGGGTCACCTTGTCACACACAGTGGAGTAAAGCCTTTTGTGTGTCCAGTGGAAGGTATGTATAGTATAACTTGGACTTGAGTTTATGCGTTGACATCGGATAAAGTCCAACCAACCTTCCAGCATGATTCTTCAAGACACTACTTAATATGCCTTAGAGCATGGCCAATCCCATCATTATTAAAAACATATCAGGGTACAGGAGATATACATTGCACATGTCAACACATGTTACACTGGCAAAGCCTGCTTGTCTAATCTATCTTTAAAGACATTTAACTGCTTATCCAAGCAATGACATTGCCTAGTACAGTAACAGCAGACGTGGTTATGTTCAGTTATCTCAACTATGCATTTCTTCCTTCTTTCCATCCTTATGTGGAAATGTGCTTGAACAAAGTTTCTAGCTTCTAAAAGCTTTTCACCTGAACACATCCCAGCATCACCATGGTCACCACCCCAACAAATGGGTCACTCACATTAATCCTGTGCATGCGCCCTTTCATGACTTGATCACCTGACAACCTGTCACTTCTTTTTGATCCAAGCATATAAAAGGAGGGGTGGGCCAACACTCTGAACCAGTGTGTGAAAAAATTGCTTAAATGTTACTAGCCAGTTTCAGTTTTCACTAGCTATTAATATCCAACAGTTTATTTATGCAGAAATAAAAAAATAAAATTCACTGTGTATAATTCTAAGAATAATACCTCTGTTACATAATAAATTGTTTGATAGGCATTACTTCTTTGATACTGTAAAGGCGACGTTTCGGTATAGATCCTTATACCGTTGTCAAGCAAGACTGAATGAGGAAATATTGTACAGAATATATATTGTGCTGGAGGATTAACAGTAACAACAATAGCATACATGAGTGGGATAACATTAGACTAACACTTTGTCAATGAAAACATGTCATTAAAATTCTAAAAATATCTTTTCGAAAGAACCTTTCCTCTTCTGCTGTTGTAGAATCAAGCAAACTAGACTTGGTTAGTTTGATCTAGACTTGCCTAGGCATTTAGGAAAAGAAAATATCTAAAAAATATAAATTCCACAGTCATGGTGCAGGACTAGGATTACATAAGTAATGACAACAGAAGGATAATACTGTCACAACACGATGGACAGAGAACATATAGGTGGAAGCCAATGGGACGTGAAGCCAATTAAACAGGATACGTTTGCACAGGTGTGGTGATTAGTGCTTAATGAGTTCATAGTAGGCGGATGGGATGAAATAGCCTTGATCTCTGTTGATTGATCCCTTGTGGCGGCGAATGGGGACTGCTTCTGTTAGTTTTCTTTTAGTGAAGTCATGGAGGTTGTTAGAGAGTATTTGGACGTTGTCCCAGTTGATGTTGTGATAAGGACAGTTGCTGATATGGTCCGAAATGGCTGATTTACTGTCGGATTTGATGGTTGAGGTTTTGTGTTCTTCGATTCTGGTGTTGATGTGGCGGGATGTTTCACCTACGTAGGATTGTCCACAGTCAATTTATAGACTACACCTTTAGGCTCTTGAGGTTTGGTTGAGTTTCTACCGTTGGCTCTTAGTATAATGGCCAGGATAACACAGAGAGCCCAATTTAATTTGTTGCATATGAGAGTGACTGAGAAGCTCTGGGTGTAATTACGATGGACTTCATTGATGGAGTTGGTTGCTAAATATTTTTCAACATTATTTACTGCGAGGTCCATACACTTCTGCCAACAAAGCGAGAGTGCCTGCATCCCTTAGTATATCAAGTCTGATGCAGGTACTGCCATCACAAGAGATTCAAATTTCATGTTTCAGATTAAGTCATGGAAGTTTTTTGCAGTCAGTAAATAAACTTAGGTAACACCTATGTCACAATTGTGTTAAATGTCAAGTCACTTTGAAGGTCATTCACTAATGAAATGACTGCATTGGCCCTGAGTATTCCCAGAAGGGATGTTATCAAAGCAGAAGTACTCATAACTTTGTTATTAAGGTAGCATAGGCATAGCTTTTCATTGGGCATGTGTGAGGTTGAGTCATTCAAGTGAGCCCCAGCTAGTAGTACAGGCACTAACTTACTTCTTTTCTCCTTTTGCCTGTGCAAAAATAATGCAAATGAACAGCCATTATGACAGGTGTTACATCTCAGACATGTTCTCTGCCAAGCGGGCAAACAACAATGGAGAGGGTTCGCCATACTTGTCAATTGTTGCGAGGCGGTTCATGGGGCTGCACATACACCAGCCACTAGCTACTTCCGACATTGAGAAACATAGCAGTGAAAAACACATAAAAATCGGAGATGCAAAGTTCTGCCATTTACAAGACTTCCAAGAGTGCTGTGGATTTCCAAGGTAAAATATTGGACAGATATGTTTTTAGAGTACAACATGTTATGTGCCACCTCAGTATAATTATAAGTCAAGGAATACTTGTTCTGTAATGTGATGCTGACTGTAGATAGGGTTACAGCATAGTTTTCAGGGCAAATGTTTTTAGATTGAATATCTCTCAAAAACAACTTCCACTGAAAATGTGAACTTCTTTGTTTAGTAATACAGATATTATTTTTAACATAATAGACAGCAAGTATTTCTGCAATTCTACACAAGTATTTCAGACCAAGTGAGGTATTTGATTTTGTAGATACATGTTTACATATATAAAGTTTATGAAATTCATCTCTCGATTGCATTGACTAAAAATGATGAACATATTATTGAGGAAATTCCAATTATAAGTGATTCATTTATATTTTGGCACATACATTTACCATTAGTCTCTCGCATCAGGACCTGCATTCCGTAATGAAAGTATTTGTAATAAAAGTATATGTGTGCATATTTTTCAAACTTCCTGCAAATGTTCACATGTATGTTTGATATTCCATTTTATCATATAATGGGTGGGTTTCTCGGCAGGATAAAGCCAACGGATAAAAACGATATCCGTTGGGGTCATATGCGGATAGAGATGCAAATATCAAATGTCAAGTAGGGACTACTTTCACTGTTTATAAACAAACATGGCGTCGCCCTTGTCATTCAAGGATCGAGTCAGAATTAACCATCGGGAATCTGGATAAGCTACAGAGATAATTGCTATCATTATCAAAAGAACAGTCTAATATACTGATAATCAGTGTCTAACTGTGACGTAGCAAAGGCATTTTATAAGTTTTGGCAACTTTGGAGATATAAATTTCGAAACAATTTTGCGAGGGCACAAGGCCTAGCCAAACGGGATCAGTAGCCATATCTGTGCTTGTAGACCTCTGCGGCTTGAAACCTTCTCCACAAATTAAAATAGTTGGATTCGGCCGAAATATGTTTGAGTTGTTACCTTGTTTCGTTTTGTCGCTGTGTGTACATCTGACTACACTTCTTACCGTTATGACAGGACAGACCGACAGTCAACAACGTCTGACCGTGGCCGTGACATCTCATAGACTAGGGTTAGAGTAGCTTCCATTTGACAAAGGGAAGTTACTCTAGCGGACAGATCGATGGATTGCCGCGAAAGGCAATTAAAAACAATTGTTGTTTTGCGATTTCAGTTGGAACTATATTGGCTACTGTCACTGTCCGACTGACACATCACTTACCCTGTGACGTAATAAATATTAATGCGCGCATTCCAGGAAAACTCGCAAGATTTTGGTAATGATTGTGAGAGAGGAAAAGCGATTTTGAAGCACAGAATTAAAGAATGACATTATATGATAGAAAGGTTATCACGCTTGTGTGTTTGGGTATAGTAAATATCCTGTATTAGGAATAAACACTATGTATTTAACTCGCTAAGTCTCGCTAAATACAGTGTTTATTCCTAATGCAGGATATTTACCATCCCCAAACACACTCGCGGGATAACCTCTATATATTATGTACTGATGCACAGTTTAGTCAAATCCAATTGCAGTACAACTAACTTTTGATTTCTATATATTTTCAGAAATGGACTGTTAACTAATTGCTGTCCGCATGAGCAATCACAAGGATGTGCTCGAGTCAATGTATAGCATCTAACACAAATAGAGATTATTACCGTCTTGTGTTTCCATGTCATAAATATCATATGTAAGGAATAAGCATTGTAAGCATAGTTTCGAGCATAATACATAATTTTGATTCCTAATACATGATATTTATGATACAGAAATACACCAGGGTAATTATCTGTTTATCATGTAATGTAATTCTTAGAATCTCCAAGTTTTCATAGCATTGGCGTAAGATGCCCGTGTGAACCTCCCAATTTGTTATATTGAGCTAAATGTTGGTTTAAACAAACACGCACACAAGGAGAAACCTCTAACTAACCTTTAGAATACAGTACCACAAACTTTTCAAACACGTGACAATACCCTATGTCGTAATTTGTAGTATTTTGTTGCAAGTCACACCGGCAAAACATATGCCCTGTGACGTCAGGGGTCATCGAGTGTGCATAAGCCGCTCCCAGTGACCTATCATCTCTACACACAATGTCTTTGAATACACCCAGCGATGTGAAGAGTTTTGAATATTTGTTTACTAAATATAGCCTGCGGCAGTGCATTATATAGCAAGCGCTAGTTTACGAAAGCACTTTTATTTTTTATATATTTTTTATTTCGTTTTTCTCATACCGTATTCGACGTAATAAGCGCCCACGGCGATAATTGCTAATATATTGGCTATTGAACAATCCCAATTAGCACCCCTTCCGATTGATCAATGTATACAAGACTTATTCATTCGCGTATAATACGCACTCGTGTGTTATATGCACCCTTAATTATGGGCAATTAAATTCTGGAAAAATATATCTGTCGTATATAACATTTCAGGCTGTCAGCATGAACCACGAAATTTATCTTTCAACTCTGCTTTCTCCACCAAAATAATATTCCAATAAGAGCCTCCTATTTCTAATTTTGAGAGCGTTCTGGGCGCTTATTACGTCGTATACGGTAATTCAAGTGGCTAAAATGGTCATATATGGGAACTAATATACATATATTATTTTTTCGGTTCCTATATTCATTATTATGCACAAGAATGCAGTTTATTAGGGATATTATATTGGCCCTGAACACATCCAAATGTCGCCAGTGTTAGGGTAGGTTACCCCGAACTCTATCCTTAGCCCTTGGATCCCCTTTACGATCAATCACCCCTTTTTGATCATTAGGGTTAGGGACCCATTTAGTGGCTATTAGATTATCCAGACTCTTATCCTTAGCCCTTGGATCCCCTTTACGATCATTAGGGTTAGGTAGATCTACCCGTTTAGTGGCTATTATAAATTCTATGGCAACTCCGAATATTCTTCACACAAAAACGTCGAGTAAAAAGAATGAAATGGTTTTATGTTGAATATTTTGGCTACTGGAAACTGTCCTGGAACATTCACACAAGCCACTTTCACCGGCTACATTTTTTCAGTACTGATTCAAAAGCGAACTCACCGTTGTGTCGTCACTAGCCATGCTCATGCCTCCCTCGTTCCTTACTATTATCCACATCATCCTTACAGTGGTCCCTACCACACTTTTCTGTCACAAAATCCACCTGGCGAATTATTAAATACCATGTCATTCATGCCATATCGGATCATTCCTCGCCCCTCGGTATCTTGTAGGTTACGGAATGGGACGAGTGTGCCAAATGGCATCGGGATCATTCGGAAGTGTCACGAGACACCATGCCTACCCGTAACCTTCGCAAGTGTCCATCACCTATTCGACCCTTTCGTTCAGTTCCGTAACGTCGTAGGCATGACTAGGTAAATTTGCATTTTGTTTCACAGTGGTGACGTAGCTCAGTCGGTTAGCTTTTGGGCTAAAAATCCGAAGGTCAGGAGTTCGCGTCCGACGGATTGTCACTAAAACTAGTTGCTTGTCTTTGAGACATGTGACCTACGACAGACATCGTCCTCACGAGATGTTGTGGTACTGTATTTTAAAGGTGCTCCAGTAAGTTGGCATCACATAGATGTACAGTTTACTAAATTGAGGACATGTAAGATGACCTTACTGCTTATTTGCAAATTTATCAGATCGTGATACTATATTTATCAGATAGGTTTGCTAGTGAAGTCGAGTGAAATATTTTTCTTGTCGGTACAGTCATTGCAAGAGTCAAGCTGACAGAAGTGTTCATATATTAAAACCATGAATATTAATTTTGTACATGACCTGTGGATATTCAGTTCACTAACTTCGACACTGACATGTAAATCATAGTCTAATGATAACCGAAGTAAAAGAAATTAACCAACTACATGTTTTAGAAGACCACAAGCATGTACATTTGACCAGTGTTTGTCCTTTGTAAAGCAATCTAATTTGCATACCAGGGCCCTCGGGTAAACAGGTGACCAATCCATTGAGGTGATCAAAGTGAAACAGCCTTTATTCATTAAATGTTGTCTTTCTTACTCTGACTTAGTAATGCAATTACACTGGAAGTCCTTGTTACTTGTTATTGTGGTAGCTAGCCTAGGGACTCATTTGTACTGCATTAGACAGCATAAGGAATCAATTAGGACCTTAGACAGATAGTGGTCAGGTCAGCTGTCACCTGATGTGGTCAAGTTAAAATGGTTCACGATGCATGATTCTGAAGGGAAAGTTTGAGGCTAGTTTGTAACTCGTCTTCTGATTGTTCTGTTTGGAGATATAGAGGATTAAGGGTGAAACGATACACCGATATTCCGATGCATCGCGATACTTGACCCACGATACGATATACGATAAACGTGGGCCCATTTATCGATACCCCACGATACGGAACGCAAATCTCAAGTACAGCGTTTCCTCGCTATTGTGCCTTTCAATAAACCGCTAACTTGGTTATAGCGCGCGGTAACACATGTCTCCCAAAAACGTACTTACGTTTTTAATAAGCTCAGGTTTTACACCGACAGATGTTTTTCCCCATCTCATTAAACATTATCAGCTGATCACCGCAAGCACATAACAATGGAAATACAAGTCAGCAAGTCCGAACTGAAGTACGCAATTCAATTCCATTATTATACTATCTTGTTATTAAAACGTGTTCATTATATATCTGGACTTGTGTTTGTAATATATTTTATTGATTTTACTCAAAATTTCATTTAATATTGTTTTCATTAAGTTAGGTGAAATCGTGTGTGAAGAGATACAGCAACCACGGTCAGATTACCGCTTTTGACGCATTGAAACGAACTTTAGTTGCTAGAGAATGGATACATATATGAAAAAAGGCCCTACTTTGACTCGTCAAAAGTCATATTTGTGGCAATTTGGCTAATATATGTCAACATAACGTTTTCACAATTGAAATACATGTAGCACGGGAAGTCCCTAGGGTGACTGGTCAAATTGTTCCATACGTAAAAATATCCTGCAACAGCAATCACCAGTACCAAAATGCTACACTTGTGGTTCTTATAATTTTAAATATATATATAGTAAAAGCTGCAACTAAGGTAACACGATATTGGAATATATTATTCCTGATAAAACAAAAAATTCAGATACAATTTCTTCGACCATTCCATCAAAATTCTTTGACGTTGTATCACTGGTGGAGCACATTAATTATTTTCTGGTGTTTGAACTTTGAATTGTTTTTAAGGAAAGTTAGAGAAAGTTCCACTTTGAAGATGAACAGCTTCAGTAGTCTTGTTATTATAAAATAATTTTGACTGTTCCAAAATCATGAAAGGTTCAATCTTGACATGCTTTAAGTCTTGTTTTTTTTCATCATTGCGTATCGAGATACGTATCGTATCGTGACCAGAATATCGAGATGCGTATCGTATCGTGACCTTCCTGTATCGTTGCAGCCCTATAGAGGATGGTTATTGAAGCCTTACTGCCAGCCTGCTATTCATGGCATCCTGCTGACTCTTTCCATCATTGAATATTACCATGATTACAGTGTCATTGACAATATCTTTCTAGGTTGCAAGGCCAGATTTACAGCAAAGAGCAGTTTGTATGTTCATCTGAAGAAACATGATGCCTCAGGGAAACAAATAACATACCACTGTCCTATGGAGGGATGTGTGAGGAACTACTCCTCTAAAGCTGGGCTGCGTAACCACATTCTCAAACACTGTCTCTCCACACCTCAAGGTTTGTTGTGTTTTAAAGTTTTTGCTTTTGATGTAGAAGTAATGAATTAATGTTTTGGTGGCTTGGAATAGGGCTGGGACGAGTCAAAATTGACTACCCAGATACCCCCCCCCCCCCCCCTACTATACCTGACCCAACCCAGTTACCAGCTGTAGGTTTCAAGAGATAGGTACAAACTGTCTGATTGGGAAAAGTTTGACCATAGCCCTGGCAAAATGTATTTAGATGCATTTATAAACGATCTGGTCATGCATACACAGAAGTTGCCTGAAGTTCCTGTGGGTACCCAGATCCTACTCAGTACCCACCTGACCCGCGTACCCAGATTATCCATCCTAGACCTAGCTCCTAAGTATTCCAAATGTTTCCTTAAGCATTCAAGCAAGGGCCAATTTTCTAGTGAAAAAATAAGACTTATTTTGGAGGAATGACCATTATAATAGAAGGCATTTATGACAAGGAAGACTAAGTTCATTTTGGACAAATAATTGAATGTTTTTAATTATATTCCTTTGAGTATTTTTAGAAAGTGAAACTATAATAGAGAGACTTTTTCAGGCAGTGACCCGGCTACTGCCTTGGACTGGGTGCCCCTGTTGGGAGGAGATGATGACAATCTGGACAGCCTTGTTCACTCCTCCCCTGAGTCCACATCACTATCCACCAGTAAGTAGTACTGGCTCAGCATATGCACATGCCATTTGTCTTGACTGCATAGACAGACCTCTCAATGTTAATCATGTGGTTTACATATTCTATAGGGTCTGTGGTTTAGATAAGAGCAATAGTTTAGAGACATTTTGTTTGAGTTTTTTTGTTCTTAGTCAGCTGAAATCTAGAAAATATGAAAAATTATTTCACTGGTTTTTGTGTAGTTAGTAGAGGTGCTCAACATATGTGTTCTGTTTCAGTATACAGTAAAGTCTCGTTAATCCGACACTCGTCAATCGGACAATCAGCTTTGTCCGACACTAGTGATGGGAACAGATTAAATCAGTCCTATGTAGACCCATTAATCTGACAATCTCACATTCCGACTCCATCACATCTAATTTGGAACGAATTACTAAAATCACTCATTAATAGTCTTGTTAATCCGACACAGTGATCAGCGTACTCCGTGGTCCCACAGTCCATGTTTTGATGCAAAACTAGTCGGTTAGTAGCTGCATATTACAATGGCTGCAGAGTCAAACTTGCTTATCAATAAACAATTAATTTTTTAAATGAACAAAACAGGATTGATCACATGCTCAGATTACCTCAATGGCATTTAAATCGGATACAAATTCTTGCTATAGCCGAGGATGCCCCATTACAGGTCACGTAACAAACCTTTGCAAACTATGACCGACCAATGAAATGACTAACAGGAAGTCAGCATTAGCCACTAAGAAAGCAGCTTTCTTGAGCTTTGCGACTTCCATTTCAAAGTTGCGACTTCCATTCCAGACTATGCTTTTTAAGTACTACAATCAGTCATACAGTCCGTAACAGTTGTTTTGTGTCAGGCTTTAGAGGTTGCATTATTAGAAAACATATTTCGCTAACAATGTAACATAACAATATGAATATTTCATTTTTCATTTTTATTTATTACGTATTTTTATCGTTTTCTATCATGTAGTTGTCCAATTTTCGATCACGAACGTTGATACCACTTAATTTCATTTATCCGACATACTCGTAAATCCGACATAATCATATGCAACCAACCATGTCGGATTAACAGGACTTGACTGTATTTTGGCCTTGTTTGACCATGCTGTCCAACTGCATGTTTACTGCCGTAAACCTCTCCTCTTGGCGGACTGAGGGAGGTGAACTTACCATGCTTCTGATGACACTATGTATGGTTTAGTTCATTAGATTCTAGTATTTGTTAGTAGTATTTATGCTAAAGATATCTGAATATTAATGGTACCTGCAACTTTTATTCTTGTGTGTCTTTGGTTGTGGAACTGTTGACTACTTTTCTTATTTTTATTGGCTCATTTGGTCCAAAACTTAAAGGGAGCACATGATGTTGTGCATTGTCTATCCATCAGTGGATGTGAACTACATCGGTTGAGCCTTGAAAAATGAAGAAAAGAATTCAAACTGTTAATAGAAATTTAGAATGTTGTCAGAAAGCACTACTATGGGAACAGGGATGTCTGGGACTTGGCTGATTGTCATCGTACCCTGATTCACATAATATAGCATGTTTTCTTTTTTGCTCAGGCTTTCAGTTCACTAATTTTGGAGTCCCGACTCCATTATTTATAGACTGATGTTGTACAACCTGATGATGCAAGTTAATGATTGTTTCAGATGCATCGAACAGCACCACTGGCACACTTCCAGTGACAGCACTGTCCTCACCTCAGGATAGAAGTCTCACAACAGATTTTGTCAGTCCAGGTATTAACATTGTTGATGTTTAAATGTTGCTAAATCTATGAAGTTGAGAGATCTTAAAATGTTACTATATGTATGAAATTGAACTTTCAAACGCTTTCATAGTCCGTCTTACAGTTAAGATCGAAGGGGTCTTTTTTTATAACCATCCTGTTAAACGTCAAAGACGTTTTGGATCCCTTGACAAAAAAAACCACTGCTACAGCATTTTAGGCCAATGGTTCACTTCTGCTATGCTTCTGTGTTGGCAGTTTTATCTGAAGGGGACTGTCTGAGTGCGGAGCAGCTGAGCAGCAACATTGTGTCCCAGCTCATAGCCAACACCCCCCTGCAGCCTGCACAACCGGAGGGTGGGGCAGCCCCTGCTTCAAAACCTTCTCCAAAGATTGCCATAGCAACAGGTATGTACAATATGCTCATTGGGTCAGACCAGGTATAACGTAAATTTTTTACTTATCCTGCATTACTCCTTAATGCATTCACTGCTTACTTACGACAACTAGAAGGACAGCGCTGCGAAGGTCCTGGGTGAAGAAATAAAGTTGTTGTTCTCAAGTCCCAATCAGTGGCCTTCCGTCGCTGTCCTGTGACCTTGATGACACCTAAGGTCATCTTCACATCACTGCTTGTCGCAGCACAGCTAGGACGTGTCCAAGCGGAGCTCTCCTTTTGGATTAATTTTAGACCTTCAGTTTGTCTACAATCTTAAAAATTGATCTGCGATGGGTGATGTATTCTTTTCATATTACTTTCACCATGTTGTGTAGTTTTATGTGAATTAATTAAGACTCTTGTCTTTTTTCCCGCCAAAATATTGTTGTTCGCCGCCATTTTGAATTGTGTTACAATCGTTTGCCTGCCAAGGTAGTCATATTGTTTACAATTCTCAGCTACGTATGTATAACATATTCTTATGTTTTTAAATACTACTAGCTTTGGCGTAACAGTGAGTTGCGTATACTAAAATTATTGTATACTTTTTCAACTCGTTAAAAATATGGTTGCCGATAGATTAATATCAAATCTACGGCTTTCTTCCAGTCCCGCTTCATCAACAATTCTTTTATTGCGTACCTATGTTTATGCGATTAAATAGTTTTTTGTTGGTATTTTTGGTTTAACATTGAGTTGCGTATATGAACTTTGTATACTCTTGCAACTCGTAGTTTTTGCCGATAGATTATTGTTCAATTCTATGGCATTCTTCCAGTACCGCCTCATCAACAATGGCGTAATTGTGTAACTTATGATTGAGCGTGGTACTAATTGTCGTGGGAAAAATCTTACAAAGATTATCATCCACGTTGTTTGGTTTGCGCGCAGATGTGCTCTCCAAACCCTAAATGAAAATATAAATACCCTTGGTTTACATTGAGTTGCGCATACAAAAATATTGTATACCCTTGCAACTCATAAATTTGCCGATAGATTAGTGTTCAAATTCTTCGGCACTCTTCCAGTATTGTCTCATCAACAAGGGTTTAATTGCGTAACATACCTTTGAGCATTGTACTAATTGTCGTGGAAAAAACCTTACAAAGATTATCATCCACGTTGGTTGGTTTGTGCGCGGATGTGCTCTCCAATCTCTAAATGTAAATAGCCTTGGTTTACATTAAATTGCGTATATAAAAATATTGTATACCCTTGCAATTCGTATTTTTGCCGATAGATTACTGTTCAATTCTACGGCATTCTTTCAGTACCATTTCTTCAATGGGTTAATTGCGTAACTTATGTTTGCGTGGTGTTCATATTGTCGTGGAATAATCGCCCAAAGCTCCTATCCACGGTCATAGGCATGCACGTAGATGTGCTCGCCAAAATTCAAAATGTAATTTTTGTGTAAATCTCTAATCCAACAAGTTTACTATATAAAAGCAGATTACTCACAATCATATTTTGCAGTTATTCCGTCGTGAGACGAGAGGAATGTCACTATCGCAGAATAGCGAATGACATATGGTTCTGTCATTACCACCCAATTGTTATTATCGGCAGGTATTATGACGCCTGTGATTGCAGAAGTACACCATCCACCGAAATCAACAATACCGGAGGATTTTGTGAGTACCGTAACTGCTCCTATTTTTTCAGCCGCCGGACACTTCCAGATACATGTATGATAATCTGTGACGTCGGCGACAGCACCAGCACCAGCGTATCGAGATGCTATGATGGGGGTAGATTAGACGCAAGCCTTGATCCAGTCAATACTTTTGAGCTTTGTGTCTGATTTATCTGCGCCGAGCGCAGCACTTGACTACAACCCAAGCACTTCTATTACGCAAGCGGTGCACGATCAGCTTAGCGCTGTTCCAACATATCCAGCTTAGACCTGCGCCGAGCGCAGCGTCTGACTGATACCCAAGCGCTCCTATCACGCAAGTGACGCACGATCAGCTTAGCGCTGTTCCAACATATCCAGCATAGACCTGCGCCGAGCGCAGCGTCTGACTGCTACCCAAAGCGCTCCTATTACGCAAACATCGCACGATCAGCTTAGCGCTGTTCCAACATTCCAGACCTGCGCTGAGCGCAGCGTCTGCGTACCAATCAAGGTCTCTACAATGACGTTAGCCCAAGGCTTACAGTGTACTCGGTTACGTAACCGGCACATGATCAGCTTAGCACATGATCAGCTTAGCACATGTACCCGATTGGGAAGCACACCATTTCGTGTCAGTAACGCCTGCCCCTGATAACAGGGTAAATAAGAGGGACACCACGAGGTCATTAGAGGAAGACTTCTCCAAAACTCACATTTGCTCCGTGATTTAAGCGACCAATATCGTCAATGTTTGCAGTGGATGAGAATCTATTAGAGGATAACCATATCTGATTAGATCACTTCCAAACTATGGTGTTTTTCCTACAGCGTCAGTTTGACCTCAGGAAAATTCATCTTGAGACCGTTCTGACGGAGATTACCGTTACACCCAAGACTTTATAGCGTTTCCAACTGAGATGCTGGTTTCAAGGGCAGTCTATTACTTCATCCTTGGTCATCTACTCCCCTGTTCAACGAACAGATCGCAGACACGCACGTCAAGTTCCCAAAAAGCTTGGAAAGTCCAAGCGGGCTGGCAAGTCAGGGAATTATAAGCCTAGACGCACGTTTCTCAGGGAAGACCAGCATTCTCTTACTGAGAAAGGGAGTGGCAGAGACAAGTCTCAAGGACGATTTTGTACTTATCGCACTATATCATGGTGTCCGTATAAGGGTAGAGATAACCCCACCGTGGACCAGAGTTTGATTGGGAAAATCCAACATAGACATACTGTTGGTAAGAAGAGCTGTAGAGTGGGTTCACAACCCAGTCTTTACTCCGGGATTTTATCCTCACACGTACCTGGTACTCATGAAGGACCCAGGCAAGATGAGAATGATCCACAATCTCTGTGTTCAACGAACGTTTGATTCTTCATCAGTCTCGACTATCCATCCCAACCGTAGACTTTTCAGGTCCAGTTCATTGGGGTTCACTACCAATGGTAGTATTTCCCATTTGACATGTCAGTGACACTTATGGCTATTTACAGGAGTAATGAAGCCAATAACTATCTACACGTGATGAACACTTGGTTCGAGTCGTAGATGGAGGGCGATCTACTGTATCATCAACACATGTCAATAACTGGGATAGACAATCAACGAGGCGAAGTCGGGAGTATTCTCCTTCCTATTGACTTCAGTTCATAGGAGACCTGTTTAAGACAGACCAGGATATCCTATCTGTACCGAGGGACAGATGGCACAAGTTTCTACTTCTTTTGTCATCTACTCTACACCAACCACACACACTTCGCCAGTGGCAAGTGTTGCTAGGGTTAATCACCTCGGCACAGGAGTTAACTAGTATGGGCCGCTTACAACTGCGACCAATTCATTTTTTTCCTGAACCCTTACATCAGGAGTCAGGATCCACTCAAGGCCATCACTCTACCGACTAAGCTAGAGCCTTGCCTCAATTTGTGACGCTGAATGTCTGCGGAGTCTGTTTATTCGGGTTTTCCCCGAATACACACCTGTTTGTGGACGTCCCCTTTCAGGGGTGGAGTCTTCACTTACAAGACCAGATAAGCTCAGGGCTATGGCCCGGCGCACAATGGAAGTGGCACATAAACAACTTGGAGTTGGAAGCTTTAATTCTGGCTATATCACATTGGCAGAATCAACTACAGTTAGCCCGACTCGCTATATCCACAGACAACAGCACTGCGGTGTGGTGCCTGTGCAATCGGGGAACAACACACTCCCACTCTCCACTTCTAAGGACATTCAGATTTCTTCCATTTAGTGGATCGGCTGTGACTAAGGTTCATAGTTCAGCACATCCCCGGATGTAGAAACATACTGGCCGATACTTTATCACGTCCAGACAGGGTGGCTCCCACCGAGTGGAAATTTCTCACAGAAGCATTCCAGTTACTGCTTCAGGAATTCAGGCAACCAAACATTGACTTGTTTATTACTTGCCTAGGCCACCAACTCATGACGTATATCTCCCCGTTGCCGGATCCGCAGACTTGGGCGGTGGACGAGTTCAGTATCACTTAGGAAGGGCAAAGAACTAACACTCTTCTGCCACCACTTTTACTTCCCAAGGTGCTACAGGGGATCAAGGCGACAAGGTATCTCGATCTCTCCTTTGGTCGCACCCTGGTAACCGGCGAGAGGGTAGTTCGTCAAGCTCGGAAAAATCTAAAACGATTCACTTCCCCTCTCACAGTGGTCCAACCTACTCATCCACCCTCAACAGAAAATTGCCTCACCCAACGTCTGCACGCATGGTTCGTCTTTAAAAGGCGTTTAAGTGCGAAGGGTTATTTCGACACGGGCAGCAAAGCTATAGCTTTAGTTCATCGTTACTCTCCCAGAGACGACGATGACAAGTGGGGATCACTTGAGACTTTTTACAGGGAAGAAAAGAATCAAGACCCTACGATTGCGTCACAATTCCTAGAGGAATACCTCCTACATTGCGTACCCAAAAACACTTGGAAGGTAGCACCATTACTACGTAATTGGCTGCAATTATCTTAGTGTTGGCCGTTTCCGGAAAATCACAGTGTGATTAAGGTCATGGAACTACAGGCCATATTATGCTCATTCAGGTTTGAGGATCAGAAGGCCAAGTTCCAGCCACCTGATTGGGACTTGAACGTGGTACTTCGAGGTTTGCGAGGGCCCCCTTCGAGCCCCTCATTGCATCCTCATTTTCAAGCTCCTTCCCAGCACGTGACACCTTCGTTACACTCTCGGTATAGTATAGAGAGCTCCGCGAATGTGCTATCGCTGTGAGGAGCTTGGACATCACCAAGGAAACAATGGTTTCTCTTGGCATTAGCAATGGCGGTACGGGTGAGCGAACTACATGTGATCGACTCAACCCGGATCCGTTTTGAGCATGGGACGCACGGAACGGGACATCAAGGGTTATGCTGGGATTTTATTGCTAAAATCTACTACCAGGCCAACCCGACCGTTCCTTCACCATCCCACCGATATCGACTATTGTGGGAATCGTACATGGTGAAGTTCTCCTGGGCTCGGTGCGAGCAGTTCGAGTTTTCATTCGACGCTCCAAGACTAGGCGTGGTTTGTCCAAGACAGAAGTTAGTCGCATAATCGCAAACACCATATCTCTATGGTTACGCGCAGTAATCCTTCAGGCCTACGAGATCATCAAACGGAACTCGCCGAGAGCGAATTACCCTCAAGATCTCAAGGTGTCAGCCTTACCAGGGCTCAACACGGCAATTGTGGTTTTGGAATAATCACGGAAGGATATTTCTAGAGATTCGAAACATATTTTCATTAGTCATAACCTTCGCGTTGGGGCTCTCGAGGATGTCGAAGACGTTCGAAGTTTGGCCCTCTGGTTGTTATCCTGCAGATTGCCAACCCCTGACGCAAATAATGAATTCGCCCTATACAGAGCCAGTCAACTTCCATGTGCAGTCACTCAGTCGCCACCAGTGGAAGAATATTAGACAATCTTGTTTGTCAGCGACGGCTCTATGACGCAGTAAGTAAAGAATTAGCTGAATAGCTATTATTTTCTTTATTACTAAGCGTGTATAGGGAATTTCTCTTTAATTCCTATGTTCAATCTTTTTGATTTTTGAACAACCCTACCGTAATGGCGTTTTTGTCGTAACTTTTCCGCTTCACGGTTTAGCGACCAACTGGTGTTGTATTGCAGGGTGTGAATTATTGAGGTTTCTGTATTCTGAAGGTTTACCCACCTCCAAACCGTCCGATACAGATGCATTAAGGAGTAATGCAGGATAAGTAAAAAATTTAGTAAAATCTAAATATTTTTTACATTTGTATACTTATCCTGCATTACTACGCTTAAGGCCCACCCGTCGTTAGACTTGCCTCCCCACTTTGGCTGCAGAAACCTCAAAAGTATGTTTTTCTAAGAGCTTGGGCGACAGGCAGTGATGTGAAGATGACCTTAGGTGTCATCAAGGTCACAGGACAGTGACGGAAGGCCACTTATTGGGACTTGAGAACAACAACTTTATTTCTTCACCCAGGACCTTCGCAGCGCTGTCCTTCTAGTTGTCGTAAGTAAGCAGTGAATGCATTAAGGAGTAATGCAGGATAAGTATACAAATGTAAAAAATATTTAGATTTTACTAAGTTCCCCTTCTATGAGTAGTATATTTGTGCAATGTCACATAAGTTGACGAAACTACCTTGTACAGTTTTGTTCAGATTTATCACCATGTATTGCTTTTTTAACTATTTTCAGTTCATTAAGAAATCACTTATTTATTGTTTGTAACCAAGTGGAATTTCAGTGTATGTGTAAGGAAATAGGAAACTATGTGAGGTGTCTGTTTGTGATTGAAGATGCTGCTAGTCTGTCAACTGTAGCTTTGGAGAACAGCAGTGGCTCTGCTCGCACAGACTACCGCAGCAACCACATGCTGAGTGAGCGTGCCAGGCGGCGATGGCATTCTGTGAAGAATGGAGGCAGCCTAAAAGTGGATGAGAGCATTGTGTGTGACACCATCTTCCCAGGTAGGCAAGAAGTATTGCAGTAGTCCACGTGCCAGACCAGATATTGGTACCACCTGGGGTGGCATAATCTCAGTATGATTTGTTGAAAGTCATATATCCATAGATGAAAAAAAACTTTGAAAGCAATCTGGGACTAACGGCTTAGTAGCAGTAATCACCGCATAAAGGGGGACCCTGAGTCAAATCGATGAGACCAGATTTCGGGGTGAGGGAAACTAGAAAGTGAAATAACTTTATGGCAACGTTGGTAGCCTGATGCTCTACATATTAGTATGTAATAAAGGGCTAATACAGTAATAATGTAGGTCAAAAGATCACAAAATTTGACCCCTGCTTAAAATCTTACCACCTGTCAGAAAATACATTGCACATACCACACCAATGGGAATTTCTTAACCCAAATGGGCAAGGATTGAAGCCAAGAAGTACCTGAGTCTATTAAAAGTCTGAAAAAGTGAAATGTATTGTCTTTTGTTTTGTGGTAGCGGACGGTTTTTGATGCATTTTAAAACAAATGCCATCATGCGCAAAAAAACATGTAAAATTGTATGAAGTAGGGCTGCTTGAAATAGGTTCGCATGAATTCAACTCAACTCCAACTCTCAACGCCAAATCATAACATGCTAGATGTAGTCAGTAGTTGTTGAAGCTACATTGTTCTGTTTTTTTCCGGCCTGACAAGTTTAAACTGAAGGTCAAATTGGGGTCAAATTGAATATGCTAACCTCAATAACATAAAATGCAGTTATCTGTTGCATAATGAATATTAATATTTGTTAAGATCACACAATTAGACTGTCAAAAACTATTTTTATCACATTAGTGTTAGAAACTTAAGTCTTTATAATTGTAGACCTAACTAAACAAGGGTGGTCACAAAAGAGTCTGCTATATATAGTACACCATTGATTACTCATCATCTGAACAATCATCAACATCGCTCGCTTCAAATTCAACCTCCTTAACTTGCTGATTGCTACAGGTCTGTAATTTGCAAAGGTATGTACATTTCATGTTATTCTGTAGGCAGGTATAGCTCTCCGCTAAGCACTTCTTCTTACATGCAATCTCAGGAAAAGCCTCCATGCTTCTTTTCCATACTTGATAATTGTCCCTCTTGCAATGGTTCTGCAGTGAAGAGGCGCAAGGAGGAAGCTGCCAAGATTCAGCTTCCCTTTTCTTTGCACAAAACAGGTTGAACCGCAATTCACTTCTCAATAAGTGTCCTTGTGCTGTATAGACATTCACATTTGTTACTCTAGTGCCTTGAACAGCTGTGGTGAAACTTTCCAGCTTGTGCCTAAGCAAGTAAACGTGTTGCTGTGTATGTCGCTGGTGAGTAACGTGAGGGCTGAAACCTTTCCTCTTCCAGTGAAGCAGCTGACAGTATCACAGCCTGTAAACGCATGTAGTGGCAGAAGGCGTGTCAGCAACTTTCTGGACATCAACATATTCATTGCATGTCTTGATCCAACCTTCATGTAAATTGAGCATGTTAGCTGTGATGGTAATGCCAAGTCAATAATGAAGACATACATATCATATCCCATAATCACAACTGCAGTAAAGCCAGAATCAGTACAGTGCTTCACATGAAGGAGCCTGGTGGCTGCCTCTTCTTGGCATTGTTGACTGGCTCCACGTTTAGTCTTATGCAAGTCTTCCCTGGTAACAAAGAATTGTTTGTCAGCCAGCCTGTTTCTCTGTTCATCTTCACTCCAGTCCATAACAAGTAATTCAATCAGGTGTGTCTTTTTCTCTGGGTTTAGGAGGACAGTCACTGTATGACCCAGATGCAAGGGTCCTGAATGGCATCTCATGCTGGGATCCTCTGTTGGCTCTGTCTGCATTCTTGATTGATTTATCTTGATAAACATCAAACACCATGTCAGTACACCCACATGATGTTCCTTCTCGCAAGACTGATGAAAGGATGGCTTTGGAAACTACAGCATATGACATATTAAATCCACCAGTACATTTTGTACGAGTGCCATTCCATCAATTATACAAGCTGAATGAGCTCCTGCACTCTGCAGTAACGTAATGCCTGCTGATGGCCTCCTTGTGCCTCCTAGGTACAAGATATCGACAATATGACATCCAAAATGACGCTAGGTCCCCTCATTGGTGACAAAGATCATTCAGATACTGCTAGAAATGATCTGCCAAAGATATAAACTATGGAGTGGCATATGTCTTGTGAAAACGCAGTGGTCATCTCATTTGTCTCTTTGGAGGCCTTCCATCAGTTTAACCCATTCCATACAAGTCATTGCATTGCCTCCTATAGCAATTTGTGGAATCTAACAGCACTTTTGTATTTTCGACCATCAAGTACACCTTCAACAGAACCTTCAGCGATCACTCCAGATTCTATGCAGAGGTCTCTTAACCCAGCTTCCTGAAAATGCTTTACTACCACACCTAACAGTGTGCTCACTGTGTGAAATACGCCTAACATAGGGATGATTCAGAGAATAGCTTCTTCTGTTTCCAAAGGTTTTCAGTGGCCTTTGCATACAATGCTTGGTCGCAAACCAAAACAATGCTCTCACGGGCTAGTGACGTTCTGATCTTCTAGGACTGACACAAAACCTCATGGACATTGAGTGGAAAGCCAATCACAACTTTATCATGGACCTGAATATTGAACCCTTTCAAGCAGCTTGCAGTGTTTGCTGAACAATGCAACAGAGTCATCATCCATTGTAGGGTTTTCTTGTACACCTCCCTTTTCAGTTCCATGTCATCTACTTCAATGTAATCACAAGGTGGCGGACCAACTCGTACACCAATGTTATAGATAGGAACTGCGACTTGACAACCTTGAAAGTTCCATGCTTCTGTGTTGGTTCATTCTGGACATCCTTCAGATACTGTGGACCAAACACCTTTGGTTGCACAACAATTCCATTCACTCTATGTGATGTCCCACCTCCACTTGGTGTCTCTTCAAGTCAATTTATGTTATCTTACGCCAATGTTACTTGGACATTTGGTTGTATGCATCCTGGTAGAGTTACACTTTCTTCTCTCAGTGACAATTTATGAAGACAGAGTGCTGTGTCAATCTCTTCACTTTGGGAGTATGAAACGCCATGTCCAATTCAGTTCAGAATGCAAATTTGTTTCACACACCCTTGAGTAATTTCGCAACATATGGCAGCAGGATTTGTTTTTGGGCTTTCACCTTGACACATGCCATAAACAATGTCCTGCCCAATAGAGTCTGTGAATATGGTCTGACAGAAAAATTGATGTGTTAGTGTCTCAAGTTAAAAGCATTTTCAAGAAGAATTTTAATGATGCAGGAATGTAGGCAGATGCATTTATAAATTCTGTTGGTACTGGTGGCCAAGGCATTATAACATCTTACCCCTTGACTTCATTTCTAAGCATAACAAATACATTCATCATCATTTTATCAAAATGAGAAGTCTCTTGCTTGGCAGCTAGGAGCTGTTCCTTGAACTTATGGTTTTCTTTGACTAGCTCAGTCAATGTTAAGTTTTCGGGAAAATCCAAAGGTTTGCCTTTCGCACCAGGTATCATATGGATACTCTTCAATTTGAGTATATGCTTGGTCAGGGTCGCACGAAACAGAGGCTGTGGCAGTTGCATCAGTATCAGAGTGGGCTTGTGGCGTCTTTCCAGGCTTAGTGTATAGCAAGCGCCATTTGGGTTAAGAAAGTCCCATTGGTGTGGTATGTGCAATGTATTTTCTGACAGATGGTAAGATTTTAAGCAGGGGTCAAATTTTGTGATCTTTTGACCTACATTATTACTGTATTAGCTCTTTATTACATACTAATATGTAGAGCATCAGGCTACCAACATTGCCATACTTCACTATATGTTATTCCACTTTCTAGTTTCCCTCACCCCGAAATCTGGTCTCATCGATTCGACTCAGGGGTTCCCCCTTTATGAGGTGATTACTTCCTCTAAGCTGTGAGTCCCAGATTGCTTTCAAAGTTATTTTTTCATCTATGGAAATTATATAAACTAGTTTGTAACCAAATAAACAGTTGTGTACAATCAACGAGAAAAGGACAGCCTGTAAGTGCATAATACAAGCATACATTAAGCTTTGATTTTATATCAAAATGCAAAAACATTTTCGTGTGCACACCACACTGGAAGAAGCATTTCAACAAATCTGTACTGAAGTAGACAAATTTCTACTATTATGACACTATCTGGCTATAAAAGTGTTCATTTTGTATCTGGACTATAGTTTGTAATCCATTACCGGTATATTACTTTTCTCCAAGGTTTCATGCAATTTTGTTTACATTTATTTCGGTGAAATCGTGTATGATCTCATCGGCAAATCACATCAACTCACCGTGAACACCGTGAAACGAATATAAGTCATTAGAGGTCTTCCGTCTTCCTATCAATTTTCTTTTCAGTTATGATATTGGCCATGACAACAAGTGGTTTTTAAACTAAATCACCCATAGATTGGGGAGAAAATGTGTGAACATCTTATCGCTATTTCCGGTATATTTTACAAGACAAATACACATGTAATCTTATTCTCTGCGGATGAAACATTGTCCACCATACAATTCACAAATGCCATTGAATTTGTAAGTCATCATATCTAGTGAAGTTTCATAAATAAATTCATGTTTTCATTGACCAAATTTGCAAACAGCAAAACAAGCACACAACTATTGCCGCCTTGACCATAACATATAACACGAGATGTGCAGTACATCAGTGCGGATGTAAGGGGAAGTAACTGCAAGCTATATTGGATGATGATGTTTTTAGATATTGTAGCATATCACTGCCAGGTCATGTATGTTTAACACGTGGAATATTTAAGCATTTGGGGAGGGAAATAAAATAAATGGAAACCAAAACGAAAAGTGCAGCAGACTTTGTGATGATATGGCGGTGCTTGAGAACCAAAATTATGTTTTTAAGCCTAACTGTACATTTTGTGTGGCTATAAACAGGGCACATTAGAGATTGCCTACTGTTTTTCTTTCCATATATATCTCTCAACACACAGCCTTCCAATTTTGGGTGTTCTTTTGCTTGTTTAGAGTATTTTATATCACAAACAAAAAACAATACATTATTTATTTGCTAATTGATTGGCTGTTGTCTCGGCATCATATAGTTATCTGTGCTTACAGCTGCTTCTGCAAATTGGGGGATGGACTTTTTGCCAAGAGATCACCAAATGTCCTCAACTAGAAAACAATAGGGAGTGCTTGTGCTCCAGGATGACAGTTGCTATGTTGACTATGTGCCATGACCTTGCAGATAACACAGAGAAGACCAGCGTTGCTGACCCAGTGTCTCCATTATTTCCATCACCGGATATCCTCAGCTCATCTCAAGGAGTCATGTTCAGGGACCCTGAGACAGGAATCACTTACGTCCAGACACAATTGCTACAGGTAACTTCAATGTTCCTGCTATAAGCTTAAGTGAACACATTATTCATTTCACATGAATTATACTTTTGTACCAAATTAGTGTAAATAACATTTTCATTATGGCTACAGTAGCGCACAAGTTATTGGATTTCCTTTTCCTTATGTAAATCCTTGAACCGTTAACAAGGGCGTCAATTGACCTGTGCTGATCAGCTGTGAATGAAAGATGAGGTTTTGTTTCAGGATGACCCTCCACATCCAGCACTGTATGATGATGAGAGCAGTGATGCCTCGGTCACTGGAGCAGTCTCCTTCACTGGGACTACCATCAACATGCAGGACCTCAAGTAGCACTGTCCTTGCAAGGTCCAGAGGAACACTGTGTGCTGCTGTCTATATAGTAGGCCTGAAGGAACACTGTCTACTGTATATAGGGGATCTGAAAGAACAGTGCATCTACTGTCAATGTGGTAGGTCCAGTTGAACACTGTGTTTCCTGTCTATTTAGTATGCTCAGCTGAGGGAAGACTGTGTGTCTGTTGAAAAAGTAAGCCCGAAGTAACATGCTATGTCAACTACTACATAGTAGGCCTGAAGAGAGACTGCATCTACCGTCTCTGTCGTAGGCCTGAAGAGAGACTGCATCTACCGTCTCTGTCGTAGGCCTGAAGAGAGACTGCATCTACCGTCTCTGTCGTAGGCCTGAAGAGAGACTGCATCTACCGTCTCTGTCGTAGGCCTGAAGAGAGACTGCATCTACCGTCTCTGTCGTAGGCCTGAAGGAACAATGTGCATCTATGGTCAATAGACAGTACCTCAGTACCTGTTAGCATATGTCAAAACTGTATATACTTGGCCAGAAGAAACACTGTACATCTATGGTACCTTCAGTACATGTTGGCATATGTCAACAGTGGATCATGTTTATTGGACGAGAGAGTGAAGTTTTTTAGTGAGTATGTGACTTTGTTGTACTGTTATGTATTGCACTTATGTTGTTATTGTGATCAAAGACATAATAAAATCATACAAAAGATAACTGATCTTTTATCATGTTTATATATTAACAGGGCAAAAATAATAAGTTCAATGAAAATACATTTATTTTGAATTTAAATAATGCATCTTTCAATACATACACATGAAGACTTCTCGTCTATAAGGTCTCGGTGCACAATTTGGAAGTAGACTTGCCTGTTTTGTTAATGTGAATGGCTGGCAATGTTTTTGGCTATCAGGTACCCCTTAAGTGTCTTTTTTCTCTACTGCCATGACCAACTGTCTAGACCTCTTTGTCTTCTCCCCCACTCCCCCACTCTTTTAAGGTGTTTTCTTTTATATAAAGCACAGTTACTTTTTTCCTGCTTACATGTAATAAAAACAAATTCTGACAAGGAAAATGTTTTCTGGATCACAAGGGGTCCTTGATATGTTGGGCTGTTTAAAGAGTCCACCTAAAGCTCTCAATACTACTGTCGAACCCATTCGACACTGTCACTAGCCATGTTGCTACTGTTGAACTCATTTGACAGGCAAATAGCATAACAACACCCCAAATTACAATTTTTTTCAAGTAGGTTTTTCATATTTAAATTATGTATGGTATGCATTAATGCCCAGCTTTCTAAATATCAAGACTTTGAGTGGTTTATGTACCTGAAAAAGAAAATAACGCCATTGTTGACTTCCCGTTGAGTAACATGTAGTCTGATATTTTTTTCATTGAATTGTAATTTTTTGGTTCTTTGATAAAATGAAAACACTCAAGTTTCTTAATTTCTCAAATTTAGCAACTTTCAGTTTAATTAATTATAAACAGAAACAATCTCAATTGTTACAACATAGATTATCGATAGGATGAAGCAGACAGGATTATGGCAGTTGTTACGTGTGGTATGAACGGCAGGGGTTCCCGCTAATACCACAAATAACGATTACAAGAATCACACAACAATCTCTGAAGTTTAAAGCTAGATTTAATAATTAAAACAGATAAGTATATAACAATTCTCAGTTACTGGGCAAGGCACTCATACACATCTATTTGGGCAAAGCAATATGGCAAATGTGCAATATAGATAATAGTCACCTCAGATTTCTTGACATCACATTCCCAATGAATTCCATTTCACATTGTTCCAAACTTATATATCACAGTTCACAGTATAACTGGGTAACAACAGTTTCCTCCTTCGAAGCGTCGACATGACCTTCTAACTTTGTCTCCGGACATAACGCTGGGCTGAACTGCCCTCGTTTAGTTAAACCATATTTCTCCCTCTCCAATTCTTTTTCCTTCCCCCTTTCTGTTCGATAACTTGCCCTCATATAGTAAACACATTTACAAGTAAGCTATCTACTTCAGCACACAACAAAAGGTTGATCGGCCCACACCAATCAGTTACCAATCCGACTAAAACTCCAATCACCCCACAAGCACGCTTATCCCCGTCAGGCAGCTTGCTTAACTCAATCAAGCATGACGCCGTCCACCCAAACTGGACCCCTTGTGAATCACACAAATATACAACGTCATTCATAACACAGTAAACGAACGACTCCACATGCATCGTGATCCTGCAATACTTGTACAATCCTTTAGTCATATTTAACTTGGTTTTCTCAAAATACTTTCATATACACAAAGAACAAAGTAAAGCACACCCCTATTTCTGAGCCATGACAAATGGCAAAAATCATAGCATGAGATGACTGACCACAGGAGCTGGGCGATACCAGTGTCATCGGATAGAACAAACATTTGACAACAAATAAAGAAGATATTGGTGAGTTGTGATGGAAATTTACTGACAAAATCATCATGGTAACACAAGTACTGTTTTTGACCTTAGACAATACCTTAAAAAAGTATGGAACTGCAGGATTAAGTAAACAAGTTACAGTTTCATGTTAAAATTTTCTTTAAAGTCTCTACTTGACATGACACGTGAAACTGATCAGTAGGGGTATAACCGCCACATGCCACTCCTGATGCAATGCTGTTTCCAATTTTGTACAGGAGTGCATGTATCCACCGCCCCAGAATATCCCAAACATGTTCAAGGGGGTTCAAATTTGGGCTCATTGCTGGCCAGGGTAGAGTCGTTATTGCATTGGCCCTCATGTAATCCACGAATGCATGCGAACGATGAGGCAGGGCATTGTCATTCATGTTGGTTGGTTGGTTTGTTGTTTAACGCCCCACTCAGCAATATTCCAACTATATGACGGCGGTCTGTAAATAATCGAGCCTGGAGCATACAATCCAGTGATTATTATCATATTATCATGAGCATCGATTCACGCAATTTGAATCGATGACATACATCAAGTCAGCGAGCCTGACCACCCGATGCCGTTAGTCGCCTCTTACGACAAGCATGGGTTGCTGAAGACGTTCCGGATGTACTGAGCCCCTGTTAAGTTGCCCCTTGTAGTGACCAAATCCAACCTGCATTCATGAAAGATGCACCCCAAAACCATTACCGAGCCCCTGCAGTATGCAACAGTCGGTTTAATGTTCCTGGGCGTGTAGGCCGTGTTCCGGCCCCTCCAAACTCTCTTTCTTCCATCAGTGAGGTGGAGCAGAAAGCGACTTTCATCTGACAAATGGATCCGTCACCAAGTTTTCAGATTCGAGTTTTGTCGTGCAATACACCATGCTAAACTAGCAGCTTTGTGGTGATGTCTCAACAAGGGACACTTTATGACTCGTCGAGCTCTCAGTCCTGCTGCTTTCAGTCGGTTCCTGTCGGTTCTGGTGCTGAAACGAACTGTTTCAGACGAGTACTTGTTAAAAAAGGTTCTCGGCATATGAAGAAGGTCCCTGTCTTCGCGATGTGTCGTCACAGGATGTCTTCCGGATCTGGGACGGTCCTGTACATCACCGGTCTGAGCATGTTTCTCAACTAAACGGCTTACGACACCCCAAATTCCGACCAATGGCATTACCAGACATCCTGTGTTATGCATGCTGATTATTTGTCATCTTGTAGCGTTTGATAATCGGCTTCGTGTCAGGTCACACACTGTCATTGAATAACTGTTTAAACCGAAAGCAATTTTAACGTTTGGATATGCTGCTTTTAGAGTTTCTTGAGGGTAGCATGCTGCACGGGCATACCATGCATGGCACGTGAGCTTTCGTCACGCATGACTGATCACATCATCTCGAGAAAACTTTCTTCTCGTAATTATCTCTTTCATGACTGTTACAAATATTGGGACTAACAATAATGCAATATATTAGGGTGTGCTTAACCCTTTTCTTTGTGTATAGATATAGTATAGAAATGATAGATCACTGGGAGGAGCTTATGCACACTTGATGACCCCTGACGTCAGAGGGCATTGTTTCGCCGGTGTGTCTGGCAACAAAATACAATTTACGTCACAGGGTAATAATTAAATTTTCCTTGTGTTCATTGAAATTCCTGCATTCTGATTAGCTGAATTGATCACGTGTTATTGCATTCATTTCCCAATGAATGTAAAAAATTAAGCCACACCCACCGAAGCGGACTACCTTTATTACTACTGAATGTCGGGGAATTCAATATTACAATCGAGGAAATTCCTTTCTACTCACATGTATCCTCATGCACAGGACATTTGGTTTGCGGATTCATACAGTTTGCACATCGGTTTTTCGATTCATACCTCAATGAACCGAAAAAAATACACGGTCAATCCTTACATAATGTTTTAATTTGAAGTTAACACGATATACGGCTTTTCCACAGAACGAGAGGTCGGTCACATGACCGCGATATTGACGTTCATAAGTGTATAATTAAATTTTCGTTGTGTTCATTAATATTCCTGCATTCTGATTAGCTGAATTGGTCACGTGTTATTGCATTCATTTCCCCATGAATGTAAAAAAAATAATAGCCACGCCCACCGAGGCGGACTACTTTTGTTACAATGCATGGGAATCCCTAAATTACAGTCGAGGGAATTCCCTTTCTGCTTAAGAGTATCGATCGTCATGCACAGGACATTTAGCGAAATTCATGCATATTCATTGTTCAAACAACCCTTTGAGACCGAAGGCCGAGAAGGAAGGAAACAGCAAACGTGCAGGCTTGCTCGCCTGTTTTCCCCAAACGCCTGGGTTCCACGACTTTCATGTCTTCGGGTTTCATTTTTAAATAGAGATCTAGCATTTTTCCAACTGTGTCTTCCCATTCTCAGGGAACCTATATTTGAATCTGGCGGTAACTGACCATGTCATTTGAACAGCCGCCTTCTCCTGGACATATTTGTTCCGGTTCGTAACAGTCTGACTTGCACTCCTTCTCGCCTCTTGCCTTGATTGACAGGTCCTGTGAAAATTGTTTTGATCCTTCTTTCCATTGATTAGATACTGACTTTGTAGGCGTATCACGTTATGTGCATAAATTAAACAATCACCTCATTCATGTCACGCCACAGTTTGTATTCCTACACCTGGAATGTTTATCAATGTCATGACAATGACATGTTTTACATGACATGACGTGTATTGTTTTAGGTTCATTGAGGTGTGAATCGAAAAACCAGTGTGCAAACTGTATTCATACCCCAATGAACCGAAAATAATCCACAGTCAATCCTTAAATAAACAACATAATATGACGTTCATACGTTTTTCAAGAGACTGTGTTCTTGAAATGTCGCAAGCTCCGACGTTCATACAGTTTGGCTCTCACTCTATGAAGGTTCATACTCCAATGAACTCAATTCAATCCTTGAGTGTCACGTTTTGAAAAGTTTGTGGTACTGTATTCTAATGGTAAACCACTAAGTAACATTGCATGAAAAGTTGTCATTTAAATATCTGGGTTATTTTTGTCTAAGTTTCTAAAATTTAACATCACCTTGTCCGGAAAAATAAAACAAACATGTAAACCGAACGCATCACAGCAACGGCCATGGTAACCAGATGCACGTGAGTTCCGTGCAAATTGAAATGCACATGCGTTCCCCCATTTCTTGCCAAGATTGACAAGAAATCAGCGACACCAAGCCCTTGGACGATTGCAAGCTGGACGCCCG